GGTTGTGTAAGGACATACATGCCACAGCACACATGCAGAGGTTTGAGAACAAGGGTTCAAGGGATCAGACTCAAGCTGTCAGGCTCTTGCAGCAAGTGCCTTTAATCACTGAGCCATCTTGCTAATGTCTGTCCATGGTGTTCTGAAAGCAATGGAAAGCTATTTCTTTCCATTTGCCACACTGATAGTCACCTATCTGGCTCTTTCCCTTACTTCTCCTCTGTGGTGACAGGGTTACCAGGGTTGATGGAAACATACATGACCCAAGAGCTGTGTAAATGCAATGTTTTTTTACTACTGAGACATTAACACCCCTTGAACCTATTCCAGAAGCTTGGCAGGATAAAAAAAAAGTCTATAATCTGGTTTGTCCGGGGAATTCTACTTTAAGATTCTGACCACAAAATGGGTGCATACTTACTATATCACATGCATACACGCACACAGTCATCACTCAAAATTAGCACTTGGGAAATGAATCGAGTAAAGGCTCATTTAAAGCATACTCTGCAGAAAAAAATACCATGGCTTGTTTCAGGAAACAAAAGGAATTATGTTTTGAAAGATACTTTCCATCTTCAAAAACATCATTTGTGATTTCTCATCTACTGTGTAATGTGTAATAGAGAATCGCACATTCAGTGGTGCTCAGAAACCATTACAAAGCGGGTGGAAAATACCAGAAAAGGGTGGTCAGTCTCAGAAGGACAAACAGTTGTTGCTGTGCTCAGTCCACAAGTCTGGAGATCATAGGAGAAGCTAAGCAACTGACACACGGAAGGAAGGAAGTGAGGGGCTGTGTTGAAAAGGCTGAGGCTTGGGTGAAGAAAGTGTAACCCCCCAAACATGCAGGGGGGACCAGCTGGACACCGAGAAGATTCTGAGCAGTTAGTTCTCAAGGGCAGCTGCTGGTCATGCAATTTAAAAGTTCCACAGGAAGAGCAGCTGGAGTGGGGCTGACATCAGAGACAAGGGTTCATGCGCAACTAGAGTGGAAAAAGGCTGCCTGTGCCAGAGCAGTCACTTGAACACCCAGGAGCACTTAAGAGCCTATTCTCCTCGGTGGCAAAAGCCCAGGATGGCCACAGATAGGAAAGCTGTCACCCTTGATAGCCACTTGCTGTCTAAACTATGGTTCTGTTTCATGGAGCAATGAGGAAAGCCAGAAATGTCAGTTAAAAGCTGAGGCAAACAAAACTGTATCTAAAAAGTGGCATGAAGTCTAAGAGAGACAGTTTTCTTTCCAAATGACTGAATGCTGGACAGAAATGCCAAGGATAACACAAGCACATATTTACCAAATGTTCTTGGTCTGAGTCAACACCAACCCTAAAGGAAAAACACAAAGAGCAAATGAGATTTTAGAAGCCAATAGAAGGTCTACTCACACACAAACATTCTCAGGCAAATATTTTTCTCAACACAGAAGCTCCAGAATGGTTAATGTTCCCTCTTCTCTACAGTTGGGGTGTACATTTCTGGCTCCTGCTACTTTCTTTAGCAACAGCCTTGGGTCTAAGGAAAGCAGGGCAAATGTTCTATTCCTAAAATCCCACTTTACAGTTTCAGTAAAATAGCATTTCTTCTCTGAATGTTATTCTAAGCACCGAGAGAGAGAAACTTTGCCCCGATTGCTCAGGAAAAATGATTTGAAAGTTTCAAAGTCAAAGCTGGAACACTGCTTTCATGGAAACATTGCTAAGGTGACAGAAGGGGGTCCAGTTGCAGAGGGACCACGGGGTAACTGAGGGACATCAGCTTTGATTCTTCGTAATTCTTGTGTACCTACATCAGATTCCTTCTTTGGGCATCCCAGGGAACTACTTCATTTGCCAGTTCTGAGTCTGCGCTCTAGTCTCGGAACTTGCAACTCTGTTCTTTCTCCTGCCCTGCCTGTCAGGTCTCCTCTCCTTGCCACCCCTGCTCTTTCAGACCTCACTGTGACTCACAGATTCTGTTGAGTAAGCCTTTCCAGCTGCCAGGCTCACACCCAGAGTTAACTCTGGATAGCATGGAACTCTCTAGGTCACTGCTTTCACAGAAGCTTCTGAAGACAGCTCACAACCCTGAAGGTCACATCTAAAGTCCTTTGCAGGACACTCAAAACTCTCTACACACCAGTGGCTATCATTTTCTCCAAGCTACCTTCCCACCCCCATCGCCAGTCATTTTCTTCCATGGGCCATGTTATACCCTAACTCATACCTCTCCCCAGAGCCTTGTCAGCTCCAAAACTCAATGTGTTTTTGGCTCACGCCTCTCATTCCCTCAGGCTGAAACTTGTATCCCCTCAGTTTTCTACTCATTTGTCAAGTGCCAAAGTAGCTGTTGTATGAGATGCTCACACAGAATCACCTCCCCTTTGCGCTTCTGTAGCACTAAGTTCTTTATTATAAACACACATCACAGTACAGGGTAGTTATTTACCTGTCCATCTCCCCAAAAAGACTGTGGGCTCCTTGAGGGTAAAGGCCATGTCTCAATTCATCTCTGTAGCCCCAGAGTCTAGCATAGTACCTGACATACAATAGGTGCTCAAATGTTTATTGATTCAGTTACCAACTACAGACAGCACAGACAACACAGCAGTACAAGAAGCCGTAGCAACATCTGCAAAGACAACACTCAAAGGAGGAAAATGATACAAGACTCTATCTGGAAGGCAAGGAAGTCATGGTCACATATTTGAAAACAGGTGGCCATCACCAGATTCAAAACTGAAACAAAGGCTCATTTTCACTTTGTTAAAAATGGCCAGACACTGCTGTTTAACAGCTTCCCAGTCACATTGGACTCTCACCACATTTATGCATCTCAAGTGACATCTAGTGGTCTAGATGATAGAACGTTTAAACATTCAAATGGCACATTATCCAAAACCAATGTAATAAACATTTACAGAGCACTTATTATTTGCCAGGCACTGTGCTAGGCACAGGGCATAGACATGAATTAAACATGGTCCCTGTCCTCAAGGAGCTCACAGACTACTGGGGAAACAGACCCAACTACAGCAGACTCAAAGAGTTTGCTATGAAGGCAAGATGGGTTCAGGACTACTTCAGGATAATTTCTAGCTCTGTGAGTTCAATCAGGCTATGAAGGACTGTAATTCTGTCGCCCAGAAAATAGGGCTAGTATCACCACAAAGTGTTGCTGCAAGAATTAAATGTACTGAGCAACTTTTAAAGTGCTTGATGCATCACTAGTGCTAAGTGGTAGGTAGCTCTTCTAGCAATACTGCATTACAGGGATGAATGGGATAATTGCTGTGATAGACAGACCCAATGCTACACAGCAACTCCAAGAAAAAAGAATGGGGGAGAAGGAGGGGGAAGGGCAGTTTTGTCAATTCCTAAGAATGAAACAGAATCCCAGGCCAAGCAAAGGCTCAGAGACAAAGAAATGCAAAGCATGTGTGCCTAGTTAAATGTTAGAGTGCCAAATGTGACTGTCACAAATTATGTGAAAGGATGCAAGCTGATTAATTCACTGGGATCCACTGCTCCCAAGACAGAGGACATGATCTTTTTACACGAGAAATTCAATCATGTCACTCCCTTGCTTTAATATCCTCATGGTTTCCACTGTATTTTCAAATCCCAAGTCTTCACTATACACTAGAAGACCTTACAGCAGGAGGGACAAACTAGAGCCCTCATGCACATCCAGTGCTAAATAAGGTCTTGTTGGAACACAGCCATACTATGCGACTGTGTATCACCTGTGGCTGCTTTTGCCAGCAGTTCTGGGTGGGTGACACCGATCACAGGACTGCGAAAGTCTAAATCTTTGCTTCTGGCCCTTCACAGGTAGTTTTCAGAATCCTTTCAGGGTCTTCACCACCTTTTTTTTTTCTACTTACCATTTGATCACTCTCATCATGTAAGCTTTTCTCTGTGTCAAACAGGCCACATCTGCTCCTGCCTTGGGGCCTTTGCTGCTGGACTGTTCTGTCTGGACTGCTCTTCCTGGTCGTCGTTGAACTGGCAGGGTCTTGCCACTCAGGCAGACTGAGCTCAAATATAAACTTCCCAAGAGAGCTTCCCTGCCTTCTTCATATTCTATATACCACATTCCCAGTCACTATCACAGCACCTTAATTTCCATCACATTTAGTATCATCTAAAACTGTCATGTTCGTTCATTTATTTACTAGGTTTCTTAATCACTTTTCCACTAAATTGGAACTTAGCCCTTTTCTATCTTTTTATTGCCACTGTCCTTTTGAATAAGGTTGCTTCATTTTAGCACTACTGACATTTGGTGCCAGATAATTATTTAATTGCAGTTCTAGACAGTAGCCAATTCTGTGTTCTGTAGGATGTTAAACAGGGTGCTGGCTACTGACTACTAAATAGCAACAGCAGTCCTTTCTCCTAGTTGTGATTGTCAAAAATGTCTCCAAATATTGTCAATTATCTTCCCAGGAGACAAAATAATCTGCTAAGAACCAGTGAGTTGGAAGTTGAAACAAGGAGTATCCACCAAACTGTTAGTGCTCAGTAAATATTTACTGAGTGACTACATAAAAGGCACACGTGAAATGCTGTGCAAACAGCTTTGCAGAGACTAGCACACCAAGTCCTCAGAACAACTCCAGGAAATGGGTGTCATGCTACAGATGTAGAAACCGAGGTTCTGAAGAGTCAAAGGCCTTGCCCAAAATTAAGAAGGAATGATCAAGAATGCAAAGGTTAAGTTGGTGTGTACACAAACCTTCAACAGCCCCAACTCATCTGCAACTTCCAAATTACACTACTAAAAAGGTGGAGGACGAGAAGAGGCACTGAAAATATAGCCTTTGCCTTTCCTCCCAAATATAGGTAGGAAGGATAAAACAACTTTTTAGGATTTAAATGCTAATAGAGAGATAAACTAATAATAATTAATGCAATAGTAAATGCCATGAAATATTGACATTTTCTATTTATGTCAATTATTAAGAATTTATTAATAGATAAAATAGAGAAAATGGAAGATTTGTAATATAACTATTAAGTAAATGTGATAAATAACATTTTAAGCCAATACATGTTTAGAAAAATTAAAGCAACAATGTGAATTAAAATATAAAAATTAAGACTATATGTTTCACAACTATTTGACATGCTAGTCTTAACCACATTCAGTAAACTATCCAGTAAGGACTATAAAAATACATAGCCTCACTTGAGAGTGGAGGGACATGGGAGGGATTGGAGGAGAATACTTTGGAGAGACTTTCAAAAATTAACATATGACCTCTGTTCACAAACAGGCCAAAACACTACAAAAAACAAGAAACCAAGAAGTAGTCTAAAACTACAAGGCAATGGATATAATTAAGCCTCCAACTGTGCTGCAAGGTAGGCAAAATGGGGCCAGCCAAGGAGCTTGCAAATCCAGTAATATAAACAAAATTCAGTGTGAGTAGGTGGGATTTTCTTCTCTCTTTTGAGAAGGATGGTAAAGCATGGGAATTTTTGTTTTGTTTTGTTTCATTTTTTGAGACAGGGTTTCTCTGTGGCTTTGGAGCCTGTCCTGGAACTCACTCTGTAGACCAGCCTGACCTCAAACTCACAGAGATCACCTGACTCTGCATGTTAAGATTGGTGTGCACCACCAATGCCTGGCTAAAGCATGGGAATTTTATTTGTTCCATGTAGAAGGCAGTGAGGGGAACAACTGATTGTCCATTGGTAAGTTTAGTTCTAAGCTATCTCACATTTTGTTTTAGTCTCCTCACAGTGTTTTCAGCTTTAAGATTTTGAGAAATAAAGGGAGTTTACTCCTTTCAAAATTTACCACTCATTTCTTGATGAACCGTGTCTGAAGGAACTAAAAATAGAAGCTCCTCTGTGTCCTGTTTAATTATCTACATGACATTAAACAATTAACAACTCTTAAAGCCTTATTTTTCATAAAACAGTTACTATGATTAGATAAACATGGTAAGCACACTTAAAATAATGCCTGGCACATAGTAGGTGCTTAATAAATGTCAAATCCTCTTATAAGTAGAAAGTAGGATTACAAGAACATTACTGGATATATAAAAGCAACTGTTGCACTATATTATCTACTACACCCAGGAATAGCACAAAAATTAGAAGAGATTTGAATAGTAAAGAGAGATTAAGACATTAACAACATTCACTGTGTAATTAAGAGCTAGCTTGTCTTTGCAATGTTAAAAGGCATAATAGAAAGTGAAAGAAACAGGCGACAGATTCTCTATTAGGTGAAACACTGTTGTTCCGAATGAGGCTCATATATCCTGGAAGCTTGGTAGCTCTTAACATCTATGATGTTTCAGTCAAACACAGAACTACAATCTACAAAGGCTTTAGACACAAGCTGCTGTATCCATGGAAACAAATGCAGAACTCAAGATACAAGAGAGATTTCAAACTGAATACATTAAGCAGTACACACTGAAGACCATGACGACATCACTTTGGCCCTGGTAGGTTTGTTAGTTTAGAAATGGTGCTTGCTGATCAGAAAGATGAAAAGGAATGATAATGTCTAGTATTGATTAGAGTTGGGGTAAACTGGACTCTCACACACTGCTGATGGAGTGAATTTAGTAATTTGATCAAAAGCCTTAAATATACACATATATTTTGGATTAATCAATTCCACTTCTGGAAATGCATCCTAAAGAAATAGTTAAACAAGAGCATGAAGGCACATTGGCTTCAGAGCATTCATTTATTAATAGTAACAGCAAAACCTGCAGATGGAAATGAAAATAGCCACAGCCTAAAACATATAAAACTACAATAATAGTGATTTGGTTAAATCAGTCAGGCCACACATAGCTATTCAAATAATAGGAATATAGTCACCAGAACAAATGCCTACACCGGAATACATTTTCTTCTATTACCACATTTCAAAACCAGTTTAGAAAGGCACTTTAGTGTTGCCCGTTTGCTAAAACGCATAGTAAAGGTCTGGAATGCTTTTCATTCCTTTCTCTTGGCAGTTTCTTTTTTCTATGTTATGCACTTTTTAAGAAGGAAAAAATGAAAACAGATTTGACAAGGCATAAAATCTTCTCCTGACTAAAAATAAAAGGAACGGAATTAAAATGGAATATGAAAATGAGGTCCCCAGCTCCTACTTACCTTATATGCAAGCATGACAACATAGCAGTGGTGCCACCACCAAATACCCACACAGTAAAAAACACAATCAGAAGTGTGGTGCTGAACATCATTTGCCGTGCGTAAGTGGCAGTGTCACGAATGGCCAAGGCAAATGCCATTGCACCACGAAGGCCTACAGGGAATAGAAGAGGTGTTACTTCAATAACTCATCAGCAATGTAGACCATAAATTCAGAGATATAAAACATAACCTCAAAGCTTGAGAGCATGTGGACAAATATAAGATACATATTTAACATATGTAAAGAATGACTAACAGAGTTAGTATATAATACAGGCTTTTTTTGGTTTTTTGAGACAGGGTTTCTCTGTAGCTTTGGAGCCTGTCCTGGAACTCACTCTGTAGACCAGGCTGGTCTCAAACTCACAGAGATTCCCCCTGCCTCTGCCTCTGAAGTGCTGGGATTAAAGGCGTGTGCCACCACCACCAGGTATAATACTGACTTTCATTGATCTTCTGTTTGTTCATTTTTTAGACAGGCTCTTGTTACTGTAGGTCAGGCTGGTCTCAAATTCACAATCCCCCTGCATCTGCCACCCAAGTGCTGGGATTGCATGTATCTGCTACCACATCTGCTTGATCTCTTAACGATTCTTTAAAATTGAGTAGTTTATGTGTAATGAATTCAATTTATAATGTATGGACAATTTGGGTGACCATTGCCCCAATCAAAACAGACCTAAAATTTTACTCTTCCTGTCCAAATTACTTTGTGCTGCTCACTAGCCCAACTGCATCATCCTGGCCTGATCTGCATCATTATTAGTTTGTCTCTTAAAAGTATCCCTGGGTCTTAAGGTAGATTGATTCTCAACTTTCTGACAAACTGCCATACTGATTTCCAAAGTGGATGTACGAGTGTGCACACCACCAGCAGTGGAGGAGTGTTCCTCTTTCTCCACATCCTCTCCAGCATAAACTGTTCTCAGTACTTTTGATCTTAGCCATTCTGACAGGTATAAGATAGTATCTAGAATCATGTTGATTTGCATTTCCTTGATGATCAAGGATGTTGAGCAATTCCTTAAATTTCTTTCCACCATTTGAGTTTCTGCTGGTGAGAATTCTCTATTTAGGAGGAGGAGTGGGAGGGAAACCTGAGGTTGGAATGTAAAGTAAAACTTAAAAAAATATCATATCGTTTTTTCCCTGCTATTTCTCTGAAGAGGCAGGCAAGTCTTTGCCTGTCTTTCTTTCTCTCTTTTTTCTTCCCCTCTCTTCCTTCCTTTCCCCCAATAAAACTTCCCATGTAAGAAATATCATATCAATGGAATCACATACATAAGTTTTGAGACCGGCTTCTTTCATTCAACATAACACTTTGGAAACTCATCCATGCCACTATGTGAATAAAAGTCTGTTCTTTTTATCATTTAGTAATTTTCCACAGAACTTTATCAGGTCCTTCTCTGCCCCATTTGGTCATTCAAAGACAGACAAATGCGATGGTAAAGGTCAGCAATCCAAAATACACAGGAGGCTGAGGCAGGAGAGTCACAAATACATACAAGGCTTGCTTGAACTATAGAGTAACACTGAAGGCAGTCTGAACAACTTAGACCCCATCTTAAAAATAAAAAACAGGTTTTTTATCGAGAGAGACTGGGGAGATATACAGATAAATACTACAGGTATCTTAATGGTAGAGGATTTGCTTGGCATGCCTGAGGCACTAGGTTCAATCCCCAGAACTGAAAAAGGAAAATAAGCAAGGTATTTGTAGGTTTTGGCAGTTATGGATAGAACTGCCATAAACATCCACTTGCAGGTTTTTCTCTAAATATGTATTCATCCCTAACTTACTTACTTTGTGTGACATATTTTGAAACCAAAGATTTGGAAGCAGAGTGAAAAATTCCCACCAAAGACAATGAGAGATGGTAAGGAATTTTCTCTTTGAGGATTCAGTTTCAATGTTTCTGACACAGGACCTCCATTGCAGGCTATAGAAGTTAGCTTACGTGATGTGAATAGTATCTTGGGTGTAGACAAGAAAGGAAACTGAAACTTACCAGCAAACATCATCATGTGTTGGAAATTTGATCCAATCTTACTTCTTCTACCCAAATTAAGTAAAAGAGACAAGGGGTAAATATTGGCAGCTCTTCCCAAGAAAATAGCAACCTAAATCATTAAGAGGTTAAGGAGTAGTTCGTTTACTACTGATAATTTAAGCTATACATTCAATGTGGTGAGCAAGCACTGTCTATTGGCAACACTGTCACAGTGTCATCTGCTAGAACAGTCAATATCTACAGAGCAGCTGGGATACAGTCAGTGTGACTGGGGGACTGCCATTTTAATTTTATTTCATTCAAATGAATTTAAATTGAAATAATCACACATAGCTAGCTGCTGACAGACTTAATAGAGTATTCCAGCATACACTAAGTGAAGAAAAAGATATATAAAAGAGGACCTCCTTAGTATTAACATCACAGACACATTCCTTTCCATTGCAGTGTTGAGAGGAAGCAGAGTCATGCTAGCTAAACTGCACCTTCCTTCCTAAGAATACAAAAAAGGGCAGCTCAGTCACTTCAAGCCACTGAAATGCCTGAGAAGCCCTGCTGGGTCTCACTAAATGTGCACTTCCAACCTGCAAAAAAGGTCAGATTTCATGTCAATTCAGACGGGTGTTAACTAAGAAACAGTGTGGGTGTCTTTTTCTCCATTCATTATGTACAGAAACCTGTACTTTATAATTGTGAATTTTACTGCAGGGTTCACGACACCATCTCCACCACATTTCCTGAAAGGAATAGAAAGGGAAATGTAATATTAAAAGCAAAGCAACATGGTTGAAATAGTACTGATGTAAATAACTTTCAAAGAGAGTGCAATTGCTAAGGCCACAAGGCTGCATGTAAGGATTATATACTCATTACCCTGGGCATAAGAGGTAGAAGGAGGAGGGCTGGAGTTCAAAGTTAGAGCCATGGATGAATAGAGAGTTTGAGGTTAGCAAGGGCCACATGAGACCTCATCAAAAAAATCAACAAGCCAAAAAAACACCAAAAAAAAAGGAGAGAGAGAAAACAAAATGCTTTTTGATAGAGTTGTTTTCCGGGTAAGTACTAGTTAACAATACTATCATTGTCATATAGCCATGCAACCCATAACATTTCAAGCAAAGAGTGCTTACACAATGGCAGTCCTATATAGTTATAATGGAGCTGGAAGATTCTTATTGCCTAATGACATCTTAACAATATTCATGTGTCTATGCTAATGCTGGCACAAACAGACCTACTATGCTACCCCTCATACACAAGAAGAGCACACACAGTTATATGTAGTACACATTAGCTGGTAATAAGTGATTGCTACTGGCTTTATGTATTTACTATATTATACTTTCTGTCATCATTTTAGTGTATTTGTTCTACTTACAAAACAAAGACTTTGGGCCAGGGAGATGGCTCAGAAAGTAAAGGTGTTTGCTGCTAAGCCTGACCACCTTAGGTCAATTCCCAGGACCCACAGAGTGGAAGGAGAGAACTGAACCTTAAAAGTTGTTCTCAGACATCCACACATATCCCATGGCATGTATAAGAAGTTTATTGTGAAACAGAATGCTATCAAACCAGCAACAGCCTCAAATGCCTCATGTTTATCAACTGTCCTAAGTGAATCAACAAGCTTCTATGAATAACTGACTCATATCACGTAGGTTTATGTAAATATAATCTATGATGCTCACAATGAGAAAACTGCCTGATGACACATTTCTCCAAATGCATCTCCACCTTTAAGCAGCACATGAGCATCTACATATACTGCAACTGAACAACTAAATAACTGAATGAAAGATGCTGGTAGTCAAGTTCTCTATGATAGGAATGCAAGTGTACAAACCAACAAAAGAAGACAGCTGATTGTTAATGGTAATAGATTACAGTTGGAGATATCAGTATAAACTCATGACAGGAGATGCTGATGGTTACAAACAAAAATATTTATGGATGTATGTGTATGTACATGGCTTACTATATACATGAATATTACCTATCTCTGTCCATTGACAGGGTCTAATTCAGTGGTTCTGAACATTCCTAATGCTGCAACCTCTAATATAGTTTCTTATGCTGTGGTGACCCCCAACCATAGACTTATTTTCATTGCTACTGTTATGAATTGTAATGTACATATGTGTATTTTCTGATGGTCTTAGGTAACCCCTGTGAAAGGGTTGTTTGACCTGCAAAGGGGTCATGCTCAAAGGTTGAGAATCACTGGTCTATGCACACCCAAAGTCCAGATCTTGGTTTGCAATACCATCTTTCCCAATTAAAAGGAACCAGAGCTCTATGGAGGAATGGAAAGTTCTTGGGTATAAAGTGCACAAAATGAGCAGAAGCATCTTATACTTCTAGAAAGTAAGGAAGTGTTAAAATACAAAACCCAAATCCCCAAACCATGATGACAAGGTATGTCAAACAGAAGTGGGGGGTCTACAGAACAAGCCCCTGATGGCTAAAGCTGGGACAGTTTGAAGAACAAAACTTATAAATATGTTGTAAGTAATCCAATGTATAAACTAATGATTAAGTATTATTCAAATAAATAATGCTATAAAAAAACAAAAGAAAAACACAAAACATCATGTGAGGGAGAACAGACAAATCTCCTATGTAAAGAATTACAAAATGGGGCTGGAGAGATGGCTCAGGGCTTAAGAGCACTGACTGTTCTTCCAGAGGTTCTGAGTTCAATTCCCAGCAACCACATGGTGGCTCACAACCATGTGTTCTGGTGCCCTCTTCTGGCACGCACTATATACATGATAAATAAATAAGTCTTTAAAGAAAAGAATTACAAGCAATTTTGCAAAAAATTAGTCCCTGGGGAGATGAACCCTAACTCCACATTCCCTAAATGTGGGCTGCAAGGGGTGGCTTCTTTTCCAAGCAGGGCAAGAAAGAAAGAAAATCATGAGCCTATGTGATATGTGATAGGTAGGGTTTTAGGTAGGGGGAGGGGAGGAGGGGAGGGAGAAGGAACTGGGATTGTCATGTAAAACAAGCTTGTTTCTAATTCAAATAAAAAAATCAGAAAAAAAGGAAATCATGAGCCATGCTGCAATGGGTAAAACCCTGCAGTCACGTGACTAAAACTAAGATCAACACATTAACATGTTAATAAATACATGCCTTCAACATGATATGATGGCAATGGCACTTCATTCCCCTAGAATTCCTCCCAAGAATACATGTAACCCAGTGCGATCTTGGGGATAACATGAAACAAATTCCAATCAAGGACCACTCTACCAAACACCTGGTCAGCACTCTCAAATTTTTCAGGACTCACTAAAATGAATTCAAGACTCAGGGTGAGCATGAAGCTGACTGAATGTGTCATTACAGGCTCGTTCCTATGACAATTGTACTATGCTGATATGAGGAGCTAATGGGAAATTGGGCTGTGAGGTACAGGAAAGCTTTCTGTGCTATCATCATTATTCTTTCCACAAATGGAAAATAAACGAAAATGTAAAATTTCTTTGGAAATAATTCCATTTAAAAAAGAAAAAGAAAATATAACAGCAGCAAAAAGGCACGGGAGGCTGCGTGGCAACTGCTGCTAATTTTCACAAATCCATGACTAGTCTTTTCTTCTAAGCACAAGACCCTCCTCCCTTTTAGCTCCAATTTTTGAGTACACAGCCACTCAGATAAAAAGCATGAATTCCTTGTTTCCCTTGCGGGTAGGTGTTGCCAGCACTGTTATGTACAAGTGGTATGTACACTTCTAGGTAGTGCCCTTAAAGATAATTAGCAGGCACAAGAGTCAGATGCCATGAACCACAAGAACGCAGGCAACTCCCTACGGAAAGCAGCATCAAGGCTGCCCAAGTTCATAACAATTCCACGTCACACAAGCTCAGACTTTTACAGAAGAAACTTCGGTCTCATTTAACTTATTTAAACCTGGCTTAATTTGAGTCATTGTCACATGAAACCAAATGCAACCCAGGCTACCAGAGACAAGATAGCATTGACCTGTTAAGAATCATTTGCATAGATTCTTTATTAATAATCTTAAATCCTAACAAGACTCACAAACCTTGCAACTATTTAACATTATTTCTGGGATAACTACTATAGATTAAAAAAATTCAAATAGTGACGAGCTCGGAAGCAACTGAACTCAACAACGTATCTTCCGGCTAAGGCAAGTTGACACTTTTTTTTTTTTTTTTTTTTTTTTTTTTTT